ATCAAGAGTGTTAAATAAAAAGACTAAGAAAACTTCCCTTACTGGAAGTCACTGGCCAGGAGCCAGAGGATCTCTGAATTTGAGGTCAGCCTGGTCTACAGAGTGAGTCCAGGGCAGCCAGGGCCACACAGAGAAACCCTGTCTCTAAAAACAAACACAAGCAAACAACAAAAGCAAGTCACTGTCCCACATTTTATGCGGGATCTTAATTCATGTGTGGGAAGGCACAGGGCTGCTCTGGCCAAGCTTGTTCTGAGCCTGGAGGAAAACCCCAGAGTAGCCCCGAGTGGCCCGTTAGGATGCGGCCCCTCCTTTCCTCTCTGTGTGATTTCACCCAACCGTGAACTCATCTGCACCTGCTTCTCATTCTCCCGAGATCTCTCCAGTTGAACTCTGCTGAGCAGGCTCTCCAAACCTGCCTGGCTGGGTCCCCAGCCCATTCTCTGAGTCACGTAGCCGTAGCCCGTGCTCAGGGTTTGCAAGCCCTGCCTAAGTGGGTCCCACCCAGCTAACTTTTTGTTTGTGTTTTGTTGTTGTTTGTGGGGCTGGGCATGGAACTCAGACCCTTGTGTGTGTCAGGCGAGCCTTCTGCCCCTGAACCACAGGCCAGTCCATGTAGTTCAGGCTGGCCCCCGCCTCCTGAGTGTGGGCATTACAGACAGGCACAGTCACACCTGGCTCAGTTGGCTTTAGAGTAAGCAGAGAGTCTGGCCCTCAGCGGTGGCGAGGCTGGGGGTCACACTCGGGAGGAAGGGACTGGAATTAGGATGTTAAGGGAACCCTTTAATAAAAGTGTCTTTTCAAAACTTTGCCTAGATTGTCACATTTGGAAACTGAGCTCTGTGACTTCCCTGAGTCACAACGCTCCCTCTTCTCTGGATTTTCTCCCACCAGTTTGGGGAAATTTTTCAGTATTCCTACTCCAAAAAGTGGACAAGGCATGGGCACTCGACAAACGAGTTTATGGAGTGGGGGAAAGATGGTCTTTAAAGAAACAAGAGTCGGAGACGACTCCCTTTTATAGGTACATTAAGCCCAGTCTGGGAAAGTAGAGACCTCAGTGGGGTGGAACCAGGACCCCATGTGTGCTGAGTAAGTGTATTGCCACTGCTATAGAGGAGCCCATTGTTTGCCTCCCCCTCCCTCTATCCCGTGGCACCATGTCCATTTATAATACAAGTCTACTTTTTGAGTGACTGACACTCGAAAAGTCTCACAGTGTGGCCCAGGCTGGCCTGGAACTTACTATTAACTCAGGATAGCCTCACACTTGGGACTCCCCATCCCAGTCTCCCGAGAGCTACAATTGTAGGCTTGGGTCACCACACCACATACCTTAGAAACAACTTACTATGTATTTATTGTGTGTGTGTGTGTGTGTGTGTGTGTGTGTTTCTTCTGCCATGGATGGAACTCAGCCCCCAGGCACCGCAGCAGCCCCCTTTTCCTGCTGAGCCATCTCCCGGCCCCTCCGGTCCTGTTAGAGTGTGGTCTTTAACTCACGAGGGAGGCTGTTCACCCTGGCGAGGGCTCATGTGTTTCCTGCTCACTAAGGGGAGCCCAGAGGCTGACCTACACTGTCTAGCTGTGTGTAATAACAAAATTACCCGATGATGTATTTCTCAGTGTGCTATGTTAATTGATAATTGTATAATTGTACTGCTACATAGAAGCTGATGAATCCACGGAAGGGAAACAAGGACTCACGCCCTTCTGATGGGTCTAAAGTGGCACAATCATCTACAATCGTCTAGGAAGCCAGTTTGGCCTTATTAGTGCAAGTTGAAAGTATCTGGGCTCAGTTAGTAGAGTGCTTGCTCAGCATGCAGAGTCCTCTCTTTGGTGCAGGCATTGCACACACCCCTCATCCTGGCCTCAGGAAGGACAGGTGGGAGGGTCATGAATTCAAGGTCGTTCTCAAGTACACAGGGAGTCGTCGACGGAAGCTAGCCTGGGCTCCATGAGACCCAGCCTCAGGACGAAACGAAAACAAAAAGCCAGGGCAGGGACTACAGGAAGCATGGGTGGATTTCAGTGTCCTAGCAGCCAGTCCTCAGCACAGCCCAGAGGAAATTGTCGTTGGTGTTTCAGGAGGACGTACAAGTGTACACAGTCCTACCCTGACTTTAGACGCATCGGCGTGCTAATTCACACGTCCGTCCACAGCGATATTTATGGGACAGAGAACTCATGTCTGTGCAACCGTGGGGACTGAGGAACAGTCCACAACACCACAGTGAGCCTGAGAGCCTACCACAGAGGCGGGAGCCAAGCCTCTGATTTTGTAGACGTTTGAAGACAGCAAGGGGTGCGTTTTGTGTTTCTGGCTGTAAGGTTTAAAAGCAGCGTGGATGTTGTGTGGGGTCCATAGTGAGAGGTTAAGGGTGTCAGCAGCCGGGAGGGCGTGGCACTGAGGATCCTGGTGCCCGGTCCTCCCGGCTTCTCTGCCCTTCCTGCTTTCTTTCTGTTGACCCGAGGCGCTTTCCTCTCCTGGACGGCTCCCAATCCTGCCTGACCCAGCTCAGCTCTCCCAGAGGCTCCGTCTGCTTCCTTCTCCAAATCCCCTCTCTTCCTCTTTCTTTGAGCCTTGCCCATGGATCCACACTTTGACCGAGACACTTGGAACCTCAACCAACAGGCCTCACACGGGATTCATCCCTTCCCTTGAACCAGCCTTCCTCTGGATGTCCTTGCTAAACAATAGGGATCTCTGACATCCCGGGCTAGAAAACCCCCTTTTCCACTGCCGCTGCTTTTCACAAACACTCAGACACTCTTCTTTGTAATGCAGTGTATTTGCGCATTGGGTTTTCTCAATAGCTCCTGCATGGGTAGCATTCCAAGCCTATCTAACAGCGGAAAACTGGAAGTTCAGAGGGAGAAGCTTCCACACCCTGTCTCCGCCCTGACACTTCACCCTGGAGCGGTTCATTCCCTGTCAGTGTCTAGATGTGCCCACTGCCTGTGGCCTGGCTTCCTTGCTGGTGTCCCGTCCACACGGCCATCCCTCAGTAGGGTCACAAGAAGCACCTTTAACCATCTGTCCGTGGAGATTTCCTCCTGAGCGCCTTAGCTCACAGAGACCTCATCAGCTGGTGCCGCCAACCTCCTCTGCACCCCGCTCGCTCGCCGCTCCCCCCCCCCGCTGCACACATGCATTGTCCTCTTATGCCCTAGGCCTGCAGACAGACAGCTCTTTGCCTCTGAAGCTCCCCTGGCCCCCTTTCTGCTCATCGATGACCCTGCCTGAAGCCCTTACACGTCTGTGGTGTACTCTGGCTCCCCAGTAGGTTCATCTCTAACTTTCTGCTGGGTTTCAAGTCCTTCAGTTCTGCTGCATCTTTCTGTGATTGCTGCCCTGCTCTGTCTCTTGAGGGCAAAAGGTATGGCTGTCTGCTGGAACTAACCTTTCCTCTTAGTGCTGGACATATTTGGAGGACGGGGGCAGGTGGCTAATGATTCTACCTGGTAAATGTGCGTGGACAAAAAGCTCTCAGACCTTGGTAAAAACAAACTTTGGAAGGAGTAACTGGGACCCTGTTTGCCAGGAATGAGAGAACAGGAAGGGTTAAAAAGAATGGCGCCCACCCCGCATACTGTGCCAGTGCCCAGTACAGCAGCGATGGCCACACAGAGCCCACCACCACCACCACTGCCACAGTCACTTTGACTGCATCCTGCACCAACCTTCATTTTCTCCCGAGTGGCAGCTCCCGTGTTTAAGGTCCCCCTTCCCTTCCTGCTTAGGAAGGCGGTCAGGAAGTGCCACCTTTCAGATAAGCCAGTGTCACCTAAGAATGTGATGAACCCAGCGAGAGAGGGCATTGAAGAAAGAGCAGACTCCACCCTCCTGACCTCCCTGACGAAGCCCACAGATTTCCCACTCAGGGAAGAGACCTGAGCCAGCCCATCAGCGGAGAAGTCTGCACAAACAGACCTCAAGACAACAACTCTTGTCTCCCATCAACTCTCCATCTGTTTCTAGTCCCTATGATCATTTCTGAGCCTAAAACCCAGCCCCCTTCTCCACGGTATACAGCCATAGGATAAAACATGCACACGCCTGGCGTTCACACACCATCCCGGTAGACTCTTCAACTCCTTTTCTGTGAGACACCATACACACGGAATTTCAAATACTGATAAAACTACATGCTTTCTTCTCCCCAACCTGTCCTCTTATCAGTTTAATATGCAGGCCTCCTCATACCTAGAAACCATGGGGTGGGAGTCGCTGTGACTACTGGTAGACTGTCAAACCTGGGCTTCTGGAACTTGGGGTAACTTCGTGGTGGAAGAGACCAGGCTCACGCCAAGCGCTTCGCCTTCCCCTTCTTGTGCTAGTGTTCAAAAGTTGCATTCTGCCCATTAAGTGCCCACGGGTTACAGAGCCCTGCTCAGGTAGGCTTTCCGATCTTTTCAAAGTTCTCATGTTGGGAGCCAATTAAGGAGCAACTCAGATCTAGGTTCCGAGCAGGCAGAGTATTACAGCAAGCGCGCACAGAAACTGGCCTTCCTCCCAGGCCACCTGTGGCACCCAGCCCTGAGACTGTGAGTATTAATCATTCCGTAGTCTTGGCTGAGGACACAGGTTTGCGTAAGTAGGCTGTCCTGGGCAGGCTCCTGGACTACATTCCACCTGGGCTGAAAACCCAGTCACAAATCTACTACTGGGGTCTGAGGCCCCTGGTCTTCCGCTGTCCAGATCTTGGGGAAGGAACCTGAGGGCAAATCCTGAACTTGCTGTGAGTCCAGGGGCAAAAGCGGAGAGGGCGGCGGTTTTGTTTCCCGAGTGACAGTCCAGACCAACAGGGGACCTTGAAAGACACTTTTCAGGTTTACCAACCAGAGGAGTGCAAGTTGGAAAAAATAATGGGCTTAAGGCGTACCCATTCCAGAATTAACATTCTTGCTGTGGCTCAGTGAGTCCACGGCTCCTGTTACTAAGCTTGCCCGATGTGAAGACAGCAGGCTCCCTGGTCCCCTTCAGCCCTGCTCACCTGGAAGGCTGCGTTGCTGCAGCCCTGTTTTCCCGGGGCTGTGGCTGTTGGCTTCAACTCCATGCTCGCCTCGCTGCCATGGGGCTGAACACGCTTGCCCTGTTCTGACTTGGACATCCTCTGCCTGAGAGTGAGCACCCCCTCTGCTAGGTCAGAGGGCCACCTGCCACTGTCTCAGTTTGGAAACCCTTCCAGTAACCTTTTAAATGACTTGAACTGGAACCTGGTTGGGGCGGGGCGGGCGGGGCGGGCAGGAGGGCGGGGTGAAGCCTGTAATTTTTTTTTTTTTGCAGGCCAACCCCCTTCCTCTTTCCAGGGATGCCCAGCATTGATGGGAACCTGAGTTTTCTCTGTAGTCCTTTGCAAAATCGTGTGCTTCCTGTGGAAGGCACTGGGGACTAGGCAGGCGTTGCTGCATCGATGCCAGGCACGTGATAGGTACAATCCCTATGAGTTTGTACTCTGCGTGGAGAAAGGCAGTAAAAGGTGAGAAGAATCAGATGCAGGTCTGGCCTGCAAAGCCTTTCTCTGCCCCCCTGCTTCAGACTGAAGGTTTCAAAACCCCAAGCACAGAAGAGCAGAGGTGTGTCTCATGGGTGGAAGGGGAGTGACTGCCCACTCACTCCCTAGCATCTTAAGTGAAACGCAGAGCTGCATTGTCTTCGTCTTCTCCTCCTTTATTCCCATGAAGTTTCTCATGAATGAAAAAACTAGATTTATAGCATTTCATATGGGGAGACGGTGGACATGAGGACAGGAGAGAAACTCTTCCTAGACGCCGCATCTGGATGGTGGTTTCATGAATGATTGCTAAAGCGTGCTTAGCATTTCACTGATTTTTCTATGAAGTTCGCGGCTCTTATTTTCACTTACAGACTCTACAAATGCTTAGGGGCTTGATCACCTGAACTTATTGTGTGGCTTCAAACCCCGGCTTTTCCCGTCTCAAGTCCTCAAACTACAGCTTAAGAGCTAAATCCAACCTGCTGCCCGTCTTCATATGTCCTAAGAGCTAAGAGTGTGCTTTCGGTTACTGAATAATTGGAAAATAAGTAAAGGGAAGAATATTTCGCTATGTTTTTATTTTAAATTAATGTTTTTAGACTTAAGTACAAAGTAATGGGCTTTATTATGGTGTCTTCATGTGTATGTGTCCCAGGGTGTCCTCGGTGGTTTGAATGTAATTGGCCCCATAATCTCATAGGGAGTGGCTATTAGGAGGTGTGGCTTTGTTGGAGGAAGTGCGTCACTGTGGGGGTGGGTTTTAAGGTTCTCACTCTTTGTATATGGCCCAGTGTGTCAGTCAACTTCCTGTTACCTGCAAGGCACAGGGCTGTCGCTTACTCCTGCCACGCCACATCTGCCTGCACGATGCTGTGCCCACCCCCAATGACGATGATGGACCGAGCCTCTGAAACTGAGAGCGAGCCACTGAAAGGTTTTTCTTACAGGACTTGCCGTGGCCATGGTGTCTCTCACCCTAACTATGACAGTTACCCCCAGTCTCATCGCCCCACCTGCCTTCCCGCTGAGACCCACCCTTCCCCCAGTTAGCCATCTTTGTACTCTCTATTATATAGGGAAGGATATTCTATGGCACATGAAAATCAGATGGTATTCTAGTTTCAAGTTGGGTGTGGCATCCTGGTAGCCTTGGCATTCGGAGGTAGAGACAGGGTTGCTGCAAGCTTGAGGTCAACACGGTCTACACAGCGAGTTTCAGCTTAACCAGGGTCAGTCGTGAGTAAGACTCCGTCTTGGAAGAAAAGGGCAGGAATGTGGAAAGAGTGGGTAAAGGCACTTTTGGCTCAAGTCTAAGGACCCTGTTTTGGTGTTGGGATGGTGTGAGGAAAGAAACACCCCTGAAATTAATCAGTCTTCTGACCTTTGCGCCATGGTGCTCGGACTCCATCCGACACGCATGTAATAATGCAGTCTTTTTAAAAATTAAAATTGTAGTGTGAGAAGTGGTTTGCTGGAACACAAGCATGCCCGTTTTCTCATGCATTGTGCAGGGCTGCTGTGTGGTAGTTGCTGGGAATTTGCTGATGGTGGCTGCCTGTTGGGTGCTACGGTCCTGGAGTTAGAGTTTGTAGTAGGTAGGACTTTTGTGCATCAAGCAAAAGGTCCTGGGTTCAATCTCTGGCCTGAGGCAGGAGCCATAGCCCAATGTGTTCTCTGCCCATTGGCTAAAGCCAAAATACATGGATATTTTTGAGCCTGTCCTTTGGCAACAGAGAACGCTATATAGTTTGCTTATAAAATATGGTGCACTGGATCCAGTGGGGCATACCACAGAGAGTGTGTCCCAAGACCCCGTCTTACCCCTGTCTACACACACACACACACACACACACACACACACACACACACACACACCCGAACAGTGATCACTGCTTCTCATTCTCCAGCCACACAATGAAAACTTACAACCTGAAGAAGTTGCAAATACAGCCATGACCCTAATGTGCCCCAAATGGTGGCGTCTAGACTAAGGTCGATCTCATATACCACCTGGAGCCTGTGCAGATTTAACTCTCAGAACTAATGTGAATCCAGCCGTGTCTTGAACACCAGAGCTGACTGGATTTATGGGGGTGTCACTAGAGTGGTGTTACCTTGCTATGAGCTATGCATTTGTGGCTCATTTTTTTGTTTTTGAGACAGGGTTTCTCTGTGCAGCCTGACTGACCTGGAGCTCACTCTGTAGATGAGGCTGGCCTACGGATCCGTCTGCCTCTGCCTCCTGAATGCTGGGACTAACGGTGTGTACTGCCATCACCTGGGAGCCCCAGTCTCATTTCTAAACCTTGAAAGCACCAGGTAGCAACAAAACCAGTGGGCATTTGTTTTTTTTTTTGTTTTTTTTTTTTTAACAAGTGGGCTTTTAAATCAACCAATTACTACATCCTTTGCCTCACAAAGGCTGAGAAACCCTGTGTGTGTCCCCTGGAAACCTGCCTGTTCCATCACTCTGTAACCAGGTTGCTCTTTACGAAGGCATCTTCCAAAGGGAAAAATAAACTAAGGTGACCGTGTGTAACACACACACAGCGATACGCAGGCATGCCAGTGCTGTGTTTGCCCCTGCTGCTCTCTGGAGACTGTTCATGTGTCACATGCCATCATTTGTCTGTGCGCTTGCAAGGCAAATGAGGAACATCATCAACCATCAACAGTAACATCTCTACTAAAGCTAAAACAAAATGCCCCGGGTGCGGCAACTGTGACCCCCACATTCCAGAGGCTGAGGCAGGAGCATGATGAGTTCTGAGATTAAACTGGGCTTCACGGTGAGATTTTTGTCTCAAATAAATAAATAAATAAATAAATAAATAAATAAATAAATAAATAAATAGATAGTACTCCTACATGATTTATAAATTGCTTAACCTAACCTGCTTTAATTTTCCAGGCATTGGGTTGTTTCCACGTCAAAGCTCAAGATACTTACTTCTCCCTCCAATTGAAGACCACAAAGGGAGCTTCTCGGGGGCCAGGCCTACAATCACAAAGTCAAAACTTGGGCTCCTGTCTCGTCTCTGACATCTACTTAAGCTCTGCAAAGAAATAATGCCTAAAGGAAGCAAAAGAATGTCCCGATTTCTTCCAGTGTACGGAGCAAGCTACACACAGGTGTGGAGAAGGAGCAGAGGAAGACAATAGATCTGCCAGGGAGACTGAGTCTATATCTTACGGGTGCACTTTGAAACCCTCGACTGCCTAATGTTTACAAGGTGCCACGAGCCATGAGTCCCTGGAAAGGAGTGCTTGGAGCTGTGAGCCACAGAGACACAGAGGACAGAAGTCACACTCCGAGGTCCCTGTTCAGTCTAGAGTTCTAGAAATGGGTGGGCCCTGTGACAAAGAACTTACATTCATCAAAGGTGAAGGGGAACTAGGAACTCTGGGGATTGAGAGGTAAGCTCAGTGGTGGGGAATTCTCTTTCCTGCCTTCCCTGCCTCCTAATCTGCCTTTCCTGTCTGTCTGTCTGTCTGTCTGTCGAGATAGTATCCCCCTATGCAACACTGACTGGCTTGGTACTTGTTATGTAGCTCAAAGCAGCCTCAGACTTGAGATAATCCTCCTGCCTCATGCCCCTGAGGATTACGGGTATGACACACCACTACGCCCAGCCAGTAGAGTTCCTTCCTTCTTCCTTTCTTCCCACCTTTTTTCGTTATTGTTGAGACACGGTGTTACTACGTACCTCTGGCAGGCCTGGAACTCTGTGTAGACCCAGGCTGACCTTGAAGCCACAGGATCCACAGAGCTCCACCTGCTCTGCCTCCTGAGTGCTGAGAGCAAAGGCATGTGCCATCCCGCCCAGCCTCAGAGAACTTTCTTACCACGTCCACACTACAGCAATGGATTTTTACCTTCCCACCCATGTGTCCTGAGGACAAGGTGTGAGTTTCAAATGAGTGATTAGGGAGGGAGACTAAGTTTACAGCAGCCAGGTCTCCCCAAGAGCCTGAGCTGGAACTGGAGAGCAGACAGTGCAGAACCCAGGGGAGCAATCGCCCTCAGGGTCAAGTGCAGGCTTTGCACTGGGCATGTAGTACTGGCTTTCACAGGCACAGGAGGCTCCTTGCCAAGCTCGCTCTATCAAGGGCCATGGGTCTAACCTGATTCCAGCACAGCCTTTACCTTTGAATCCCACTGTCTCAGGTAAGTAAGGCCACTGCCAACTGCTGTTAGATGCAACATGAGGATTTTAGTTACTTCTGGGTCTGTGATGAAGATGGCTTGAGGTTGCCACAGGGAGAGTGTTTAGCATATGGAGTAAGTGTCCACACGTGAAAGGCTGTAGGCAAGCCTGCTGGTGGCTGCCTTTGAGTTCTGTCCCTGACAATGAGGTGTGGGCTTCTTCCCACCCTGGCAGTGTCAGAAGAATGGAAACATTGTATCCATTCAAACAAGGTTGACAAAGGCAGGGAAGAACAAACACTGACTTGTCCTTAGCAACAGTCAACTTCTGGGTCGTTAAGACCTTCTAGGAAACCCATTTCGAGAGAGGATGTGCTCAGTTAAAAGTTTTTCCTTTTAACAGTATCACCACTGTGTGGCGTTCAGAGAACAGCTGGCTCTGCTGGTGGGCAGCTCCCCGAGTGGG